TACAACTGTGTCTTTATTTAGATTTCATTTATAAAATCTACCAAGTTTACTATCCGGTATCCGATTGGATAGTATATTACGATAGATAGAAGCCGAATACCGGATAGTAACCGAATATTCGGTGCATCTCTAATCAAAATCCCTTGACATGATTATAATATGAAGCTTTTTTGTTGTTTATCTCTCATAAGACATTCAATTAATAATTATGTTTATCGGCGAACTGCAGTACTCAGAGTTCAACAATTCCTTAGCAACGAATTTGTGCCGAAAACTATAGGGTAGTTTCATACATATTACTGCCTGCACAAACTCCAATATAGACCTTATTTCCGAGATTTAGAGACTACTTTTGTACAAGCAAATGTTGTGGATTTCCCGTCCATCTGATAGATTATGATAAAACATTAAACAAATGTTTTTTCTTTTCTCACAAAATTAAATACTTTCGACGATATATTAATTTGAAATACCGTGTGACGTCACAGCGTGCCACATTTTGTAGCACGATGTGACGTCACGACCACTCACTCCTAAACTTAACGCCATTTTATCTAAGTATTGTTTTATTATACGACAAAATAAAAAAATACGTGTCTAATATTTTTTCATCATCTAACTGACGGACTAATTAGATTTTTAATTTTCATTCCCTGTCTACTACCCTATTGCTAACCATTTAAATGACTCTGAATACGTAGGTCATTCACGTAACTGTTTGATAAATATAAACCCCTATGTGACTTGAAAGTTGTCGAGACACCTCGACAAACAGTTACGCGAGTAAGCCGGTAACCATAATATTTTGAAAAATCTCTTTATTGTGTTTCATTTTCAATATCTTGAGAAATTCCTTTTTAGATGGGAACTAAGTATTATTTTTGGTATACATTATTTACTGATATATGAATCTTCGGAATCACTTGTTCTATGTTTTTATAATAACTATCGTGAGACTTAGTAAATTAACTAAAAATCGTGGCGATGAGTATGCTGCGCGATATCGCCGCGACCGCGCACGCTGCTCATGAGGAAGAGCCCTCTGTGACTCGAAACTAGTAGATCTTTTTTCAGTATATTCACGTGAGTAACCCGCGATTTTTAGTTAATTTACTAGTTCTAATTAAATATTTCTTTTTTTTCGATATTAAGAGGGACTATTAATTTTAGTATGACAATACAATATAGGAGCTGAGTAGACAGAATAAAACGACATATATACCAAAAATAATACTTAATTTCCATAATGTAAGAAAAGGATGGACAATAACTTCTGTAGACAGCTGTCTCTGTCACACAAATGTGACGTCATTCATTGCGAGAAAGACAACACTATACATAACCATTGTATCCTTTTCTATAACACATATTTTTGCCAAAATTTTCATATTTATAATACAAACATTATATCTTTGCATATTGGAGAGAGAAAGCGCATATAGTCATCTCTTTTGCTCTTTATAAAACAACTTATATTGATATCTAAGTACGTGTGTCACTGGACAATGAACCTCGCTACCATCAGTTGACTGGACATCTACACTACACGAGTCACTGTTTACATGTCAACATTAGCTCATGATGGACAGCATACAGAGCCGTATTATCCCTAAGGCGCTGTAGACAAGTGCCGGGCGCCAGGTTACAGAGGGGCGCCGCGAGACGCGCGTGCACAACTGCACATAGAGTGACGGCGGCGACAAAATAAATAAGGGGCGCCTATGACGTGCTTGTCTAGCGCGCTCTCTGGATTTAAATGCGGCCATACACGCTAGTTTATGCATGATGGTTATAACTTTGCATGCAAAACCGACAAGCATAACCGAGTTTTATACCACATATACACGTTAGGTTTTGCTTGTACGGTCGAAGGTCAAAAGTCCACTGCCACCGTTAGACTACTATCGGTTGCGCTGCAGCGCTTACACACACATGCACACGCATATTTTTAACCGTGTGCGTACGCGTGTTTACACAAGCGTTTTTATGCACATTAATATGAAATTACTTACGCATTGCCGTGTGAACATCACTCACGGTGGCAGTGTACTTTTGACCTTCGACTGTACAAGCACTGATCACTGTACAGTTTAATCACATACACGCGGGCTTGCCTGTCGGTTATGCATGCACGGCTAAAACCATCATGCAAAACCTAGCGTGTATGGCCACCTTAATACGCCTCTGACAGCAAAGCGTATATCATTTGAACTATAACATACATAGGTCTCGTTTTCCAAATGTATAAATTTTCTTTAGTACGATATAAATATAATTAAAATTACTTTAAAACAAAGGATGTTGACAACTAAACAATAGATTTTTCGAAATATTTAAAAACGAATCATTTCGTACGAGATTTCGTATTATATAGATATACTCTTATTTCAACTTTTAATCGCCAGATAAATTTTAACTAAAGAATAACTTTGAATATTCGACAGTTCTTCCATACTGAAACTGTCAAATGTCAATTTTATTCTACAATTAAGAATAAACTGACGATTGACAAAGTACCTATAAGTGATATTTCGCTACAAGTAAGGTTATCTTGCTCTCCTACAAAGGATGATTTAAGGGCGGTTGGCAACAACGACAAGAGGGATGATGACAGGGTATGAAAATTAAAAATCTAATTAGTCCGTCAGTTAAGTAATGGAAAAATTTAGACACGTATTTTTTTATTTTGTCGTATAATAAAACAATACTTAGATAAAACGAATCAAAATTTAGGAGTGGAGGCTAAAACGTCATTTCTACGTATAAAATATACATAGAAGTGACGTCACGCGACATTTCAAATCAATATATCGTCGAAAGTATTCGTTTCTGTAAGAAAATAAAAAATACGTGTCTAATGATTTAAAATAATCTACCAGACGGACATTGAAATAAAAATTAGGCATATACCCTATTACTAAAACAAAATCACTTTCCAACTCCAAAAAATGTCAAATTTTAAATATTTCGAAAAATCTTCATAATACATACAAAATTACAACATTATAGGAGAAATCATATAGACATATACACCCAAGTTTGCTTGCTACAAGAATTTCCATACGAATACATACCAAATAGCTAGTCATTATGACTTTGAGATTACAAAAACTAAATATTTTTCAAAAAATTTAACATATATGGCACACACGTCTATAAAAAACCAGTGTTCATGGTCCAGCTATGTAGGTATGACCGTCCCGTACATTCGACAGTTAATTTATACTGGCTATCATAACTTGATGAAACCTGCAGCTGTAGCCAAATGCCATTTAGCTCTTGTCTACTTGTAGAATAGAAAACCAAATTATATGGAATTGACGTAAATTTTGACACTTGTCAGTATCATCCCCATACATTTAGTTTTCTACTCTCTCTGTAGACAAGCGCTAAAGTGGCGTTTGGGTAAGGGTACTGTTTATCTGTGTCTCGCCACGGTAATAATATCATACAGTATTCCAACTTCATACAAACGGACGAAACGCGAGCTGTACCTACGCCTCGATGTGTAACTTTGTATGACATTTCCGTACATTCCGCAATCAGTTTATACTGGTTTAGCAATTTTTTTAAGGGGGGAAAAATCATCGAATGACTGTTTCCACCTGGGTGAGGCGAGAGGGAGTGTCACGACTCTTACTGACTAAAAACCACCCCGTTCCTTCTCCTGCACGTCGAGCCGGAGCCCGGGTAAACCGTTACTCTCCGCGACACTGGTTAAGCATAGTGCGATGTGTTACCATATCTACACCTATATCATGAGATCAATTTGATACAATAGGCATAAAAATTAATCATCTATGTAGCCCGTCAGTTAGATAATGAAAAATATTTGACACGTACTTTTCTATTTTGTCATATGATAAAACAATACCTTAGATAAAGCGAATTAAAGTTTTGCTACGTCATTCCTACGTTCTTAGCAGTGACGTCACGCGATATTTTAAATTAAATTATTTAAGAAAATAAACAATACGTGTTTAATATTTTAAAACGATCTACCAATCAGTCAACAAAGCTACTTAATATAAAAGTAAGAAAATATAGATTGTTTCAGTACAGAGACAGTAGCCATTGGTTGTCTAGAGCCGACCAATGGTTACAAACGATATGGCTTCGTTACAAAGCGTACAATTCAGTATAACAATATCTACTGTCTCTGTACTGAGTCAATCTTTATTTTCTTACCTAAATACTGAATGACTTGTTAGACAAAAAAATGTTGTCACAATCCCAATTTTGAGAGCAAACTTGGGGGGGAATTTAGGCAAAAAATTTAAAGGAACTTACTCAGATATCATTATAATTACTTTATTTTCATTAAATTCTCTGTTTTTTAAACTTCTCAAATGAATGTAAAGGTCGTGAGGCCCTTAGCTCAGGTCGTCATGGTAACAGGTTTGTTTCCTTGTGACGTCAGTCACTCGAAGCCGCGGGCGGTGCCGCATCATAAAATAAGTCTTAGATTTTGTCCTTACATAAAATACTGTGGACAAAGAGAGAAGATAATTAATTAGTTGATGGGTCAGTTAGTAGAAGCTAGGTGCAAAAACTGTAGATAGAGTAAGGTTTAAAGTAAATAGTGGTTCAAGTTTGGAAAAAGGAATGGTTGGACAAAAATGCTTCAAAGATATATATAGAATGGATGCACAAAACAGCCTATGCTGTTTTGACGTGTTGTTGATGATGATGGGACTAAATTTGATAATGCTGTTAACCTCTCGCGCACTTCTCGTACACACGGGTAAATATTTTAATAGAAAAGCGAATTAACTATTCTCTTCAATCAAATAAAGAACGGGTTGCAAACTTGAAAATATACGTCACAGAAAAAATATCGAATCGGTGCGCGTTTCTCGTACACCCGTGTGTACGAGAAACAAAAGAATTGGTATAGATGGCGCTGTGTGTATTGGTATATGTCACATAGGCTACTTTTATCCTTTTGTGACGCGAGCGAAGCCGCGGGTAAATGTATAAAATGGTTAGTGAATACGCACCTAGTCGTACAAGTCGTGGTCCCTGTCGCGGTCGAGGTCGGGCGAGCGCGGGCGCGCGGGCGGCGCGTGATGCCCCGGCGGCGAGGCCCCGCCGTAGTTGAGGAAGTCCCACACGAGGATGGTGTCGTCGTGCGAGGACGACACGATCTGGAACTCGTCGAACTGGAGCCGGAACACGCGCCCCGTGTGCTCCTGGGACGACACACTCAATTAACTTAAAAAAAAAACAAGTTCTGCCGCAGATTCATAGCTTTTTTTTCTTATTTTTTCTCATTTATGTCAAAGTCAAGGCATTTATTTCAATTAATCCTTAAATAGTAGGAAGACCAATATTTTGAACTACCTGTGAAGACCAAGTGGGGTCAAATTATCATTTCATAGTTTTTAATGTATTATTTTTCATTTTGTTTGGATAATAACATAACATAACATCACGCCTTTTTATCCCCGAAGGCCGAAGGGGTAGGCAGAGGTGCACATTTCGGCACTTAATGCCACTGTACAATGTAACACCCACTTTTCACTATTTATGTTATGAGTCCCATGTAATAGGGTGTGAGCCTATTGCCATATACCGGGCACATTTTTCCAGACTCCGTGCTACTACTGAGATTTTAAAAACCCAGTAATACTTTGCCCGACCCGGGAATCGAACCCGAGACCCGTTGCCCGGCAGTCGCACTTGGATAATAACATTGTTACATAAAACGGGTCTACTAACAGATTAAGATTATATGGAAAAACGATATTTTAAATAGTTCACGCCAAATTCACTAAACGAGTAGACGGATCACCTGATGGTAAGCAATCGGCGTCGCCCATAGATACCTAAAACACCTGAGACCTTACAATAGAAATAAAAAATACAATCAAAATAAAAACAAAACCTTAATAATAGATTTTATAAAAGAGAAAACAGCATGGAGCATTTTTTCTTATGATCCACCGGGGGATCATAAGGACGCTCGAGGGGTTAAACCTCCGGGCCACCATGACATTTTTGAAGATATCATTCGAGGAGAACATTAAAAACGAATTATTTCTATAAAAGTATAGTATACGTACAACGAGTGTCCTGAGACATAGTTCCTGGTGCGGCGTGCGTACGTCGAGCGCGGCGGGCAGGTCCCATACTTTGATCTTACCGTCGTACGCACCGCTCACTATGCGCTTGTTGTCGAAACTGGAATAAACATATAATTAAAGTTATAAGAATGATTACAATGAGGATTCTCGTAATTTATAGATGATAGATAGAACTCGTTTCATGAATTTAAAAATGGATATGTAACGACTAATAACGAATCTGTGGCTGTTTACACAATTAAAATGGTTTATATTGTTTTTTTTTTATTACATATTTCATAATCACGCCTTTTATCCCCGAAGACGTAGGCAGTACCGGGTAGCAGTAGAGGTGCACACAGAAGTAACACCCACTTTTCACTATTTATGTTATGAGTCCCATGTAATAGGGGGTGAGCCTATTGACATATACCGGGCACAATTCCAGACTCCGTGCTACTACTGAGATTATAAAAAAAAACGCAGAAATACTTTGCCCGACCCGGGAATCGAACCCGAGACCCCTTACCCGGCAGTCGCACTTGCGACCACTCGGCAAGCGAGGCAGTTTAATAATAAGAGGCAGAGCATAAAAATGTTATTTTTTAAAAAAAAAAAACGTTACCCCACATTAGGATTATCTCCTGTGTCGTGTGTGCGTTTACAAACATACAAGTTCACATACACATCACACACAGACACCGAAACAACAATCTGTGGATCACACAAAGTGTTATTCCGTGCGGGAATCGAACCCGCGACACGTTGCACGGCAGCCGGTTGTCCAGCCACAATGATATAATGCTTGTTTGTTTCAGATGACAGCAAGAAATTTCATTAATTTCATTTTGTATTTATTGCATGTATTTACACTGTGACTTATGTCTTACTAGCTTTTACCCGCGGCTTCGCTCGCGTCACAAAAGGATAAAAAGTAGCCTATGTGACATATACCAATACACACAGCGCCATCTATACCAAAACTTTTGTTTTTCCTCGGGAATATCACATTTTTCCGGATTAAAAAGTGCCCTATTATTTAATCCGGACTTCTAACTTTACGTCTGCAAAAATTCAAAGCAATCGGTTGAGTAGTTACGGCGTGAAGGTGGAACAAACAAACAAACAAACAAACTCACTTTCAGATTTATAATATTAGTAAGGATGTTTATATTCCTTTTCCTGTCACAGGTCTGCAGGAAGAAATCCCTTAAGGGATATGCAGTACCTCTGTACCTCATGCTTATAATGTGATGTCTCTTGTAATATTGTCTGTATGGTATGGGTACATGAAATCTATATCTATACATATAATAAAATTGTAGAAAAGTGCTGTCTGTACATTGAAAATAAAAATTAAAAAAATAGCAGGGGTTATTGTTATGTCGATGTCGAACCCAAAAATGTAATTAACTTTTTTTTGTCTGTTTGTCTGTTCACGCTAATCTCAGAAACGGCTGATCCGATTTGGATGCGGTTTTCACGAATATATTGCGGTATGCTTCAGTTATGCTTTAGTGTTTGTTTCATGTCAATCGGTTCATAAATAAAAAAGTTATGTCAAATTAAAGAATCACGTCGAACACTATTCTATGCTTATACATACAAAGTGAGTGTGATTATGATCCAAAATAAAAATAAGTATATATTTAAAAAAAAACGCTGCTCATAGTCACTATTCCACGCGAACGAAGTCGCGGGCACAGCTAGTAATAAATTGTAATAAATACGGAGCCGCGGAAGAGTTAACGGGTTGCCGGGGCTCCGGCTCGAAGTGCAGGAGTAGGAACGGGGTGGTTTTTAGTCAGTAAGAGTCTGACACTCCCTCCCGCCTCGCCCAGGCGGGAGAAGTCATTGGATGATTTTCCCCCCTCAAAAAAAAAAAACTAGTAATAAATAAATAAAGAAGGAATGATGGAGAAGCCTGACCGTATGCAGCGCACGAGCTCCTCGTGTCCCTCGAGCACGCGGATGCACTGGCCGCACTCGATGTCCCAGAGCCGGATGGTGTTGTCGGAGGAGCCGGAGACCACGAGGCGGTCGCGGTACTGCAGGCACGCGATGCCGCGCTTGTGGCCGTTCAGCGTGCGCACGAACTCGCACGACGACGTGTTCCACACCTGGGGGACACCAACAATACATCAACATCAACTATAACTATATATAACTCATCCATCTGTGCTCAGAAAGGGATAATAGCAATTCAAACAAATATTATACAAACAAACAATATTTTTTATAATAACATAACATAATATCACGCCTTTTATCCTCGAAGAAGCAGAGGTTTACATTATACCACTGTACAATGTACCACCCACTTTTCACTATTTACATTACCTAGCCTATTGCCATATACCAGACACAGTTCCAGATTCCTAACAAGATTTTTTTAAACCCAGTAATACTTTGCCCGACTTGGGAATCGAACCCGAGACCTCTTGCCGTCGCAATTGCGCCAACTCGACTAACGAGGCAGTTTATAATAACTATCGTGAGACATACTGAATTAACTAAAAATCCCTCTGTGGTTCAAAACTAGTAGAGTTTTTCCCGTGATTTAAGTTAATTCAATTGAAATTACCTAAACATTTTAAATAGTTAGCGCTAAACCGATTAGGATTCAACAGACAATAATGTTCTACAATATAAAATTTCACAAGTCATCAATCAACGGAGAGGTTTAAAGTTAAATCGTCATTTTTAAATATAATATCGAACTCTTTCAAACTTGATCTTTGAATAATATAGTGTTTATTATTATTTAATATAAATTGCAGCGCCCTTACAGGGTCATGTTGATACTGCTTAACCAAAATCATATGTATTATGTATAACACCTTGGTACCCACACATGAAGCAATACTTTGAATTTGAATTTGAACTCACCTTAATAGTTCGATCGCCACTAGCACTAACTATATATTTTTCATCGAAGTCTACAACATTGACGGCGGCGCGATGGCCGACTAGAACTCTTCGTAACATTATCTCCGTTGTAGATGTCATGTCCCACACTGCTATTGAGCGATCCTGGAATTAAAATTAAATAGGGGTTAACGACCAAACGATCAAATAGGGAAGGGAAAAATTAAATAGGGGTTAACGATCGTGGTGGCCCGGAGGTTTAAGACGCCCACTTCTCATGCATGAGGGTGCGGGTTCGAAACCTACCAACGGCAAGTACCAATGTGACTTTTTCCGAGTTATATGTACTTTCTAAGATTATTTAGACACTACTGACAAACGGTGACGGAAAAACATCGTGAGGAAACCTGGACTTATAATTTCTAATTATAAGTTTGAAATCGCCAACCCGCATTGAGCAAGCGTGGTGATTAATGCTCTAACCTTCTCCGTGTGAGAAGAGGCTTTGCTCAGCAGTGGGCATTTATAGGCTGTTGATGATAACGACCAAATGGTGTTTTTGACGTGACAACGTCTTATAAATTGGTTTGCCGGGTTACATTTCAAGAAACTGCGTTACGCTCCGCTCACGTTATGCGCTCACAATGAGAGCGAGTGAGAGGCACGCGTCCCTTCCACTCGGGCATGGTTAGCCCGCCTAAGAGAATAGAGAGACAGACATAAAAAGTGAAAGGCACGCGTCCCTTCCACTCGAGCACAGTTAGCCCGCCTAAGAGCGAGAGAGACAGAGCGAGAGAGAGAGAGAGAGAGAGAGAGAGAGAGAGAGAGAGTGAGTGAGAGAGATAAAGTCGTTGTCACGTAAAACTTTCGCCCGTATACCGACTTTACAGGCAACCAATTTTTCTTAGACATTTTTAAGTGTGGGAGAGCCATGCTTTGGCTCGACCGGAGTGATACCACGGCCGAGCAGAAAATCGACGTAAAGCAACGCTTGCGTTGTGTTTCGTCGTCTGAGTGAGGTTACCGGAGACCCAATTACCCTCCCCTTCCCCAATCTCCCCAATTCCTGAATCTCCAACGATCCTCAAACTCCTAATCCCCAAAAGGCCGGTAACGCAGTTGTAACGCCTCTGGTATTCCAAGTGTCCATGGGCGACGCCGATTGCTTACCATCAGGTGATCCGTCTGCTCGTTTACCGCCTAATACCATAAAAAAAAGACATATTAAAAGTGAAAGAGAATACATTGAATATGTATTATTAAAAAAAATCTTGCCCCACACTAGAATTATCTCCTGTGTCGTGGTTACGTTTACAAACATACAAGTAAACATACACATGACACACAGATCCGGAATAACAATTTGTGGATCATACAAACAGTTGTTTCGTGCGGGCATCGAACCCGCTACACGTTGCGCGGCAGCATATAGCAGTCAAGTGTGAATATTAAAACTTTTTACCCCATAAAAGAACATCACGGATTATTCCTAGGATCCACAAAATACAATCATACATTCAGAAACACAAACTATGTTTAAAGTTGTTATCGACATAACCTTCGCAAAAACAAAGTAAAATCTTTAACCCCCGTAAGTGTGGTGACACGACCCCCAACCCATTGACATACGACCCCATCTAGTCCCGATGACACACGACCTCATCAAACTTTTTTATCACCGTCTCGTGGTATAAAAAAAAAATAAAAATAACCTCAAATTACCCCAACTATTCTTGATGACCCCAACTACTCCCAAATTACCCCAATTAATCCCAAATGACCCCAACTAGTCCCAAAGCCCCAAACTCACCTTACTACACGTGACCAGCATTCCGTTACAGAATATGAGAAGTAGGACAGCCTCGCAATGGTGTATGAGCGTGTTCAACATGACGCCTATATCCACGTCTCATACTCCAACTGTACTGTCTGAAGATCACGATACTACCCCATTAGATGCAGTGACTTCTGCCTCAATTAGTACTGGTGTCATGAGACCCCAATTAATCTCGAAGACGCATGACCCCAATTAGTCCCGATGTTATAAGACCCCAAGTAGTCCCAAAACCCCCAAATAGTCCCAATGACTGCATCTATTCCCAACGACCGCAACTAGTCCCAAAACCCCCAAACTCACCTTACTACACGTGACCATCATTCCGTTACAGAATCTGAGATGTAGTACAGCCTCGCAATGGTGTATGAGTGTGTTCAACATGGCTCCCGTGTTCACGTCCCATACTCTAACTGTGCTGTCTGACGATCCCGATATAATTGCCCTCTCGTCGTATTGTAGACAGAGAACCGAACCCGTGTGACCTTGTAGTTCCTGGAAATTAGAAAAAAAATATAATTAGGTTTGTCTTTTTCACTCTTTTTCACAAGTAATATCTATACAGATAAATAAAATTGGAGTCACTGTTTGTATTATTGAAACAACCGGTTTTTACTACATGCATATGAATATACTTACGATGCCTATACCAAAATACCATTTTTTTAATTTCTGTCTGTTTTTACTGGGTAATCTTTGAAATGGTTGGACCGATTTTGACGGGACTTTTACTAGCACGTAGCCGATATACTAAGGAGTAATATAGACAACTTTTATTTCGAAAAAATTTAAACAAAAACCGTAAATATTACATTCAAGGAATATACTTTATCATGGTGCATTCAAATCGACTTAAACCGTATTAACCTCGTTACTATTTATGTGAACATTTTCTTATAATATTGCAAGTATGTTATGTGCTAAAACTCACAAACAGCTAGTACAATCCTTACTAATATTATAAATCTGAAAGTGAGTTTGTTTGTTTGTTTGTTTGTTCCACCTTCACGCCGTAACTACACAACCGATTGCTTTGAATTTTTGTAGACGTAAAGTTAGATGTCCGGATTAAATAATAGGGTACTTTTTAACCCGGAAAAATTGATATTCCCGAGGAAAAACAAAAGTATTGGTATAGATGGCGCTGTGTGTATTGGTATATGTCACATAGGCTACTTTTTATTATTTTGTGACGCGAGCGAAGCCGCGGGTAAAAGCTAGTATAATATATATGTAGGAAATATTTAGATAACAGAACTGGCATGCGGTGAAGGAACATACCGTTAAGAAATCTGAACTTATTAGTTTCAAATTATACACCAACCCGGTAGCCCGGCCTGGCCATTAAGTTGTTAATTTCGACCTTAATAAGATATAATTAAATATGTACTTACCCTGACACATTGCAATGATTTCCTATCCCATATCTTAATAGTATTATCTCTTAGGCCGGACACTATCTTATTATCATCGTATTGCAAACAGTACACGCCTTTTGAGTTCTCTGATCTGCAGTTTATCCTCTGTGGAATAAAGAAAAAAGTAATTTAATGAACATAACAGCGTAACATAACGGCAGTCGCACTTGCGACCACTGGGCCAACGAGGCAGTCAATAAATTAATTAATAATATTAGAATAAACAGAACAGACTCGAGTGATACCACGGCCGAGCAGAAAACCACAGTGAAACAACGCTTGCGTTGCGTTTCGTCGTGTGTCTGAGGTTACTGGAGACCCAATTACCTCATTCCTACTTCCTCCAATATTCGTAATCCCCTAATCCCCAAAGGCCGGTAACGCAGTTGTAACACCTCTAGTGTTCAAGGTGTCCATGGGCGACGCCGATTGCTTACCATCAGGTGATCCGACTGCTCGTTTAAGGGCTTATTCTAAGTCAAAGTCAAAGCATTTATTTCAATTACACCATAATTTTGGTACTTTTGAAACGTCAACAAATACAAAATAAAGTCTGTCAGTCAGTCCGTCAGTGAAGCTAAGTGAAGCTAGGTGTTCATTCCAAAATGTAGATTCGAATGGAGAAGAACGAGCAAGAAACTCCATTCGTTACTCTTTTTAAAATAGTATGTTCTACAATGTCTGTTCTACAAAAAAAACTCTCTTATATAGAGGAGGTCGGGCTGTTGACGATGTGTACTCTAACCAATATTGGCAGTAATGAGAGATTTGTTCTATTACCGGCACAGATTGCTCATAGGTAGGCGTGCTCCATCTTCGGCCACACCATCGCTTACCACCAGGCGAGATGGTGGCCACACCAACCAACCTATTAAGTATAAAAAAATGAACACAAACCTGCAAATTATGTTTGCCCATTCTCCAATTATCTTCGATGGACTGTATATCTTTTATAATCTTCGGATACTGTGTTCTGTAGAACGAGTGAGACGGATGCTGACTACCTGGTTTCGGCTTGAATAGGTATTGAATCCTGGTGCAAAGAAAAAAATAATAATGAGACATGTAAAGGGAAAATTTATTTATTGACTCTTAAGCCGGACTTACTGCCATAGGACATTTTCTCCCAGTCAACCTTTGGGTTAAGTAGAGAATCAGCGAAAATAGGCTTACGTAATATACAGTAAAATAAAACAAAATAAATAACGAATAGTAATTATAACTACTGTATAACATATTTAAAATATATAATAAATACAAAATCCTTACTTCCTTACTTAAATTATAAATCGGAAAGTGAGTTTGTTTGTTTATTTGTTCCGCTTTCACGACGTAACTGCTAAACCGATTGCTTTGAAATTTTGCAGAGGTAAAGTTAGAAGTCTGGATTAAATAATAGGGTACTTTTTATCCCGGAAAAATATCATATTCCCGAGGGAAAACAAAAGTATTGGTATAGATGGCGCTGTGTGTATTGGTATATGTCACATAGGCTACTTTTTATCCTTTTGTGACGCGAGCGAAGCCGCGGGTAAAAGCTAGTATGTACATAAATAACTACGTATATAATTATAATATAATATTATTGACGAAGACACAAACTCAGCGTTGTAGCGCCTTTAAAAACTTTTGACTCCTCTGGTGTTGCGAGGTGTCCATGGGCGACGCGGATCAGAGCGGCGAACTCGTCTCGATACAATTACGTTCCGAATGCGATAGTTATTCGTGCTTGGCACTCAGAGCGTCGGATGCAGTAGCGTTTCGATCTCGTTAAATTTAGAAGAAACTCGTATTAAGCTCTGATTAGTTAGTTAATTTGAAGTAGCCAGTATTTAGCGCTTGTCTACAGAGACAGTAGAAAACTAAATGTATGGGGATGACACTGACAAGTGACAAAATTTAAGTCAATTCCATATAATTTGGTTTTCTATTCTACATGTAGACAAGAGCTAAATGGCATTTGGCTACAGCTGCTGAGCGCCGAACGTCATCAGTGTCGAACAAGTAAAACAAAAGGCAACGTACTTGTAGCTACTGACTTCTAAATACTCTGTTGCAAGTATTGCTTACCATCAGGTGATCTGTTCACTCGTTTAGCAACCTATCTTATAAAAAAAACATAAACGTCAAAGCACTCACCATCCTCTTCGTTCCGCGAGCCCTCTCCAAAGCGAATCAGTGCGTACTTTCCTCTCAATGAGTTTCTTCCACAGCATACCCTCAGATATAACCCTCCGCCACTCTCTGCAGACCAGTTCCGCTGCACATAGTGAATTGGCGTCCAAATAGGACAGTATATTCTCTGCCACGTGGTCTAGACCTTTTTCTGTGGACAAATTGTAAAATTTTAACGAAATACTTTAGGGCTACGAGACTAGCCATATAAACTATTGCTCCGGTATAGGATAGGAGTTGGAACGAGCTGGTTTTAAGTCAGTAGCACTGACACTTCAGAATCATTTGGTAATTTTCCTTCTTTAAAAACATGGCAGTTATAAAATATACACACGGCTACACAATGAGCTTTACATAACCAGTATAAACTGAACGTTAAATGTGCGGAAAGATGATGCGACGCGACACCAGGATAAATTGGTTTTGTATAGATTGATGTGTGGCCGTGTGTACTAAACCGTAGTGTCACATAATATTCTTATTCAATATCGGTGAACGTATTAGAATTTCTTTGAATGACATGGCGATACACAATATTTGGTTCGGTACGATAAGAAAATATGCATGTGTAACGTTTTGAATTAATATGCCAAATGGACATCCTACATATGTCGTAGGAAGATGGGAGTTGATTGTTACTTGCATTGCATAACGCACATTAATTTTTGATTGTTGTATATTCACTCTTTAAATGCCTAAATTAACTTAACTCTTTGAGTACCGTCATTATAGACACAATTAAAGAACAATATGTTGCGGTCACCGGTGTCCTCGCGGTGTTTGACAGTTTAAATTGATTTGTCACACTTAAAATTCTTAATTTAATTTATTACAATTATAAATAATTTGAATTTGACTTTCAATGTAACGACCAATCAGAGCAGAGCACGCGCCTCGAGAGGGGTCGAGGCGCCATCTTACTTATTTAAAAAAAAAACAGTTTTTGAGGGTAGAAACATTAATTAGCTATCGGTCGAGTTGGATCGTTTATGTGATTACTGTAAGATCGGTGCCCTGAACCAGCTGCTCAGATCTGCTGCTTGCTCTTAATTATTGACTTTCATTTGCGTTATTGTGAAACAGATAAACTATTGTTACCATCTAAATTAAAATAGTGTTTATTGTGATCATTGTGTTTTGTGCTCGCATTTTACCCTCATGACGCCCACTAAGCCCCTAACCACAAATGACGATGTAGGCGATGACAACGTTTCTCCGTATAATAAAATTTCACATATAATAAAATCGTAGAAAAGTGAAAACTGTACATAGAATTTTTTTTTCTAAAAAATGCCTTGGATGTGATCTACAGTCGATACCGAAACCAAAACTATGGTTTTATTTTGCATGATGATGAATATTACTATCAGGTCGGGGCAGCATATAGGCTACATATTATCAAGCTATCAACTACTGAGGAGGAGCTGTGAAACACTACTCCACGCGGACGAAGTCATGCGCTCAGCTAGTTAAAATAATGTATTAATTATCCCTTCTATCAACAACGATGATTCCTCAAATCAAATTCTTTTAATATAAGTAAATACGACGTTTGTCTAAGCCTTCCCCCATCTACTAAATAACCTTGATTTACAATACAATTGAGGACCTGAAAAATTTTCTTTCAGCATTGAATTTCAGATGACTACGTGGCACCATAACGATTTGAAATTCAAATGCTACAGAGATTTATTTAATTTGAATACTTTAATACTAAAACTGTTGAAAAATAGACGAAGAATATAAAACGAATTTGGAACTCTACTGAGATAAAACACGCAATTTTCGTCCTTATACGTGGTAGGCCGGAGGTTTAAGACGCCTGCTTCTCATAGATCATGGATGAGGGTTCGAAACCTACCAACGGCAAGTGCCAATGTGACTTTTTTCGAGCCATATTAGATTACTTAGACTCCACTGACAAACGGTGAAGGAAAACATCGTGATGAAACCTGGGCTTATAATCTACATCTACACTAATATTATAGAGAGGAAAGACTTGAATTTTTGTTTGTTGATTTAAATTGAATAGGCTCCGAAACTACTGGACCGATTTCATTAATTCTTTTACCATACGAATCCTACATTATCCGTGATGAACATAGGCTAATTTCAAAAGAGAAAAAAAAATAACGGCACCGTTTATAAATTTCGATAATGTATCCCGATGCGTGAAAAATCTACCAAAAAGGTCCTTTACCAAATAGGTACGCTATTATTAGAAGACCCAAGTTCTGTCAGAAGTCATTATTCTACGCGGACAAAGTAGCGGGGAACAGTTAGATTTTTATTAAAACTTTGAAATCGTCAACCTGCATTGAGGAAGCGTGGTGATTAATGCTCAAACTTTCTCCGTGTGAGAAGAGGCTTTTGCTCAGCGTGTTGTGATGTGTGTAGATGTGTACTTACTGGGCAGCATACTGATGAAGTCTCTCTGTAACATGGGCTTTAGGTAGGCATTGATATGACCGTGCTGATAGTGACACATCCGCGCTAGTAGCTGCTCCACAAATTCCACCTGCGGAAAAATATTATACGACTTAATATTGAGAAATTATACTATTACTATCTAAAGAACTGCCTGGTTGGCCGTCTTAAGTTCGATTCCCGAGTCGGGCAAGGTATTACTGAATTAATAAAAAAATCTCAGTAGTAGCACGAAGTCTGGAATTGTACCCGGTGTACGGATATATGCTCACCCCCTATTACATGGGACTCATAACATAAATAGTGAAAAGTAGGTGTTACATTGTACAATGGCATTAAGTACCGTAATGTACATCTCTGCCTACCCCATGGTAGTAATTTATCCATCCGTTATATCCGTGGGTGTTAGAACGTGCATCATGCAAAATATTGTTCCTTGCAGGTATCGAACCCGCAACACGATGTCACTACGCCAACCATACAGTCAATAAACAGGAACATTGAAATTTTGTGATATTTACATTTTCATATGTCCTCTTGAACGCGAATTTTTGTTGTATAATTTATAACGCGGTTAATTTTTACATACCATAAACAAAGTATAAAGGGGGTAACGAATCCTCTACAAAACATAGACAGCTGAACCTTTCATTTTACTACTACTAGCTTGAAACAATCTTTCTAAACCCTAAAATCGTCAATATGACTAATGACCCCCACTAGTCACAAACTGGGGTCACTAGTCCTCTAGCTCTTTTTTCTTATAAGGGGCACCGCGGCCTTTAATAGACCTGCTGCGGAACCTCGACGGTGCAACGAACGACTCTTTTGAGCTTCGCAGTCCTTTAGTCCACAACTTACCGTGATCTCATATAATTGGAGAAGCACAAGATATCTGTTTTTTGCATTAACCAATTAAGTCGTGCTGGCCCGGAGGTTTAAGACGCCCGCTTCTCATGAATGAGGGTGCTGGTTCGAAACCTACCAACGGCAAGTACCAATGTGACTTTTTCCGAGTTATATGTACTTTCTAAGATTATTTAGACACCACTGACAAACGGTGAAGGAAAACATCGTGAGGAAACCTGGACTTATAATTTCTAATTATACCCGCATTGAGTAAGCGTGGTGATTAATGCTCAAACCTTCTCCGTGTGAGAAGAGGCTTTGCTCAGCAGTGGGCATTTATAGGCTGTTGATGATGATGATGATGATGTTACGTGTATTCTCTGTTGGAGATCCTTTTTAAATAAATAAACTTACTTGGTCCGTTTCGTTCCATCTCGTAAAGTAGTTGAGACATGCGTCCCTTTCTGCTGCGTACGCGGCGCTGCTTGGCATCGGCCGTACGCCTGAGTCCACGCTGGTGATTGACGTCACCTGTTGATAAAGAATTCTTTTAGTCCTCGAAAACTGAATGTTCTTACATTTTAAAGAAAGGAAAATAGTTTATTTGCCATTAGACATGATGCACCAAATACGCAAACATAAAATAACATTAAAAACATTTTGATGATTGACTGCCTCGTTGGCCAAGTGGTCGCACTTGCAAGTGCGACTGCCGGGCAAGGGGTTTCGGGTTCGATTCCAGGGTCGGGCAAAGTATTACAGGGTTTCTAAAAAAAATGTCAGTGATAGCACGGAGTCTGGAATTGAGCCCGGTATATGGCAATAGGCTCACCCCCTATTACATGGGACTTATAAAATAAGTAGTGAAAAGTGGGTGTTACATTGTACAGTGGCTTAATGCCGTAATGTGCACCTTTTGCCTAAACCTTCGGGGATAAAAGGCGTGATGTTATGATGTTATGTCTAATGTCTAATTGGTTAAATCGGCCATTACTTCTGTGCCCGTTTTCTCTATAGGTCACACGTAAAGGTAATAAGGAGTTGGTTTCTGCCCTTTCCTGGTAAGTAATTCTTAGTTAAGACATCGTTTAGGAGACGGTTGGTGAAACCGGCTACTAGGGTTGAATCGGAAGCCTTAGCTAAACTATCTTTAAATCTATAGGTACAGAGCCCCTCTGTGGCTCGAAACTAGTAGAGCTTTTCTCAGTATATTCTCGTGATTAACCAGGGATTTTTAGTTAATTGGGATGATGTCAGGGTATGAAAATTAAAAATCGAATTAGTCCGTAAGTTAGGTAATTAAAAAATATTAGACACGTATTTTTTTATTTTGTCGTATAATAAAACAATATTTAGATAAAACCAATCAAAGTTTAGCAGTGGGGGCTAAAACGTCATTCCTACGTATAAAGTGACGAAACGCGACATTTCAAATCAATATATCGTCGAAAGTATTCGTTTCTGTAAGAAAATAAAAAAATGCGTATCTAATGAATTAAAACGATCTGCCAGACGGACATTAAAATAAAAATTAGGCATCTACCCTATTGAGTATCTCACGATAGTTATTATAAAAAGATAATACTTATATCTAATATACAAAAGCCTCATCCGATTACTTAAAATGTAAATTCATTACAATGATTGAGCCATGACTGACTATGACTAGCGGATCATTAGATGACTAACTACGTTCAGATCAATCCAAGGACTTCCCAACACAACAATGTAACAATCAAAATAACTATTACACGGTAACAATTGTATAATAAAACAGTATTTAATATGTTGAGAACTCTGCTTGCAAATGTCTCGAAAACCGCTGAAGAGATTTTGATGAAATTCTGTGTAAATCATACCTACATAAATAACAACACTAACGACTGCCTCGTTGGCCGTGTGGTCGCAAGTGCGACTGCTGGCGAAGGGGTTTCGGGTTCGATTCATGGGACGGGCAAAGTATTACTGGATTTTTTTTTTAAATCTCAGTAAATCTTAGTAGCACTGAGTCTGGAAATGTGCCCGGTATATGGCAATAGGCTCACCCCTTATTACATGGAACTCATAACATAAATAGTGAAAAGTGGGTGTTACTTCTGTGTGCACCTCTGCCTACCCCTTCGGGGATAAAAGGCGTGATGTTATGTATGCATAAATAACTTCACGCCTGTCTCCCATGGGGGTAGGCAGAGACTATGGAACGCCAATTACTACGATTCCTACATACCTCTTTAGCTCCATCAACAGTCATCAATCTTTTCAATAAAAATTTAAATTTTCTTTAAAAAAAACATACAGTGGAATTGATAACCTCCTTTTTGGGAAGTCAGTTAAAAAATCTACCCGCAGCTTTGCATTTAATCGGTGTAAAAAGTATCCTATCACCTAAGTCAGCCCATACCCTCCCTGTATACCAAATTTCATCAAAATCCGTTCAGTAGTTTCTGCGTGGTTAACGTGCACATCACTACATAGTATAAAACAAAGTCGCTATCCGCCGTCTGTCTATCCCAATGTATGCTTAGATCTTTAAAACAACGCAACGGATTTGGATGCGATTTTTTTTAATAGATAGAGTGATTCTTAAGGAAAGTTCATATATATTATATACTAGCTTTTACCCGCGGCTTCCCTCGCGTCACAAAACGATAAATAGTAGCCTATGTGACATATATCAATAACACAGCGCCATCTATAACAATAATTTCGTTTTTCCTCAAGAATGTCCAATTTTTCCGGGATAAAAAGTACCCTAATATTTAATCCAGACTTGTAACTTCACGTCTGCAAAAATTCAAAGCAATCGGTTCAGTAGTTACGGCGTGAAGGTGGAACAAACCAACAAATCGGAAAGTGAGTTCACTTTCCGATTTATAATATTAGTAAGGAAGTAAGGATGCATATTGCACCCGTGCGAGGCTGAGGCGGGTCGCTAGTTAATGATATTAGTGTGATGGTCAGAGCCGTATTATTCCTAAGGCAAAACAGGCAAGGCCTAGGGCGCCAGGTAACAGAAGGGCGCCGCGAAGTGCGCGTGCTCAACTGCCTATAATCTTGGCGGTGGCGCCAACGAAAATAGGGGCGCATACGAGGTACTTGCCTGGGGCTCTCTCTGGGTTTGATCCGACTATGGCAATGTATGCAAAAAAGTCGAAGATCAAGCTTAATTGTATGCTATTGAAGAGACCCTTATCCCGATGTAGAAGGACAATTGATGATGATTTTGATAGAAGTTCTGCAAAGCCTCTCACACATAGATTTGACGATGTTAGGACATGTTAGTTACACTATTTATAACTCAAGAGCGGCTAAATCTTTTTGGCTGAAAATTGGTGGAGATGTAGCTTAGAACCAGGAGACGGGACATAGAATACTTTTAACCGAGGATTTTCCGAAAATCCTATGCGTACGGGAAAATACGGGATTCTGCATACAAAGTCGCGAGTAGAAGCTATTTATGAAACATTTAAATTACACCAACATGCTCACTAAATAAGAGAGATGAATAGGAAAATGAGTCAATAAGATGTTATTGGAAAATACCACACAATTTTTTTTTTTTGGAAAAACAAAAAACCCAATAGGTATACCTTTGCCTGCCAGGGAAAGTACCGTTAGTAAGTAAGTATAAGTATAGGGTAGATGCCTAATTTTTATTTTAATGTCCGTCTGGTAGATCATTTTAAAATCATTTAATTTCTTACAGAAACGAATACTTTCGACGATATATTGATTTGAAATGTCGCGTGACGTCACTTCTATGTACATTTTATACGTAGAAATGACGTTTCAGCCCCCACTCCTAAACTTTGATTTGAAAATGAAAATGAAAATGAAATCGTTTATTTGTAAACATAGGTTATATAAAGTTGTTTGAAAGATTGACATACAATGCAATACAGCGAGTCCGTCTATGTTTTGCCTTAAAGCATACAAATTCATATGAGTTTTAGTAAATAGATTAATTTAAATTAGAAAACAGAAATACATTAATAGTCATTTAAGTATCTACACAGGAATAAGACATTTATTATGGGGGTTAAACCACTGAGCCATCGTCATCAGTCATATCATAAGCTTTAATCCCTAATGCGAAATGTCATAATTTAATTAAGGAATATAATAATATGGGATGTCATGATAAGCACAGAATTACATAGAATCCAATGTCAGTATGTATCAAAATTTAAGTGGTCAAATTAAAAGGAAAATTAAGAGTATAGAATGTCATATGTACGTTCGACATAGCCAAATCTATGGTTAATCTGATTAGAATCACCCAAGATAGTCAGGGTTGGTTACATTTTTTGAAAAAACCAAAAATTTACATATATTGCAAATCGGATATAGCAGGTCTAGCATCTTTCATCTAAATAGTCATTAATTTTATAATAGCACTTAGTTACCAAAAATTCATGTAGTCGTTTTTTAAATATATTAATATTGTCAATTTCTATTATGTCTTTAGGTAACTTATTAAAGATTTTGGGTGCCATACCTAAAATGTTTTTGTTGAAGATGGCTTTCTTATGTTGTGTAGCGCAGATCCTATATTTATGACGTTTACTTTTTGGGTGGGTGTACAAGTGGATGTTAGTTTTTACGTAGCTGGCAACCTCAAATATGTAAAGGGAGGGCAGAGTTAATAGTTTTAATTCTTTAAAATATGGTTTGCAGCTGACTGTGCTTTGTATACCACATATTGCCCTGATGCATTTCTTCTGTGATTTGAACGCCATTTCTCTATCCGGCGAATTTCCCCAGAACAGAAGCCCGTATCGCAATGTTGACGAAACATAGCCGTGGTACGCCGTGATTAATGTTTCCTGATTTGCCACTTTTTTTAAGTTGTATAGCGCGAAGGAGGATTGGCTAAGTTTTTTGCAAACACTATCAATGTGGGATTTCCAATTTAGGTTCCTATCGATCCAGATACCCAAGAATTTAGCATGGTCAGTCTCTTCAATATTTTTCCCGTCATATCCTACGTGAATCCTGTTACCACTAATTCTTTGTGCAAATGATATGTAAGTTGTTTTCTCTAGATTAATTTTCAATTTATTTGCAGTTAGCCAGGTTATGATGTCGTTTAAGTTATCATTAATTTCTTTTTCAAAGGTTTCGTCATTATTATTTTTAAACAGTATAGTGCTATCGTCCGCGAATAAGATCATGGGATTGGTGATTATTCTAGGCATGTCATTTATGTAAATTATAAATAGTAGTGGTGCGAGGACACTACCCTGTGGCACCCCGCATAAACATTTCCGATATTTAGAAGTGTGCGTTATTTCAGTTTTTGTGTAGGGACAGATTTTTTTAATACATGTGTATTGTTGCCTGTTTGTAAGATAGGACTTAATAAGCTCATGAGTGTTGCCTCTAATGCCATATTTTTCTAACTTCATCAGTAGGATTTCATGACTAACATGATCGAAGGCCTTAGTCATATCCATAAGCAATGCAACCATGGGAATTTTCTTGTCCATGTTCGTAAGGGCGCACTCCACTAGCTCATAGATAGCTGAATT